CCTTGTGACTTACTTTAACCAACAGGATGTGGCCGAAGTGATACAGCACAAGTTTCAGGACTAAGTCTTAAGAAGGCTAAGAGAATTTTGTATTTGCACCTCTTGGGAGCTGTATCAGTCTGGGTCCAATCAGGACTATGATAACTTGAACAGAAAAGTTTAGTATAAAGAATTACTGACTGTAACAGAGGACTGGAGTAACGAGGGGCTGGCTAGTAAGAAGGAAAGAGAATCCAGGAACAGCTGCTACTCAGGGTTGAGATGCAGCACCCCAGGAAGAGCCCTCTCCCCAGACAGATCCAGACACCTGCGTGGAGAGGGCATGGCTGTGGCTAACTGAGTCAGAGCAATGAGCTGCTGGCCAGGGTACACTGTAGGACCAGGCACTGGGGAAGGCCTGCAACCAAGAGGCAAAACCCCTTCTTCCTGCAATGTCTCTCCAGTGCCCTTACTGATAAAACTTAACATCAGGAGAGCCGGCAAAGGAAAACTATTTAAAGGGCCCAATTCAGTTTTCACAGAGCAGGCAAAAAGGATGAATTTGGAGCTGAGGCAGTAAACTGATAACTGGCACAGGGGCCCTGAGCCTCCATATACAAAATCCCAGCTATCCTGCTGGAAAGACCACATGGAGAGACCATGCGGAGAAACCACATGGAGAAGAACAGGCTCCCAGACTACATGGAAAGACAGAGAAGTCCAGACACCTCAGCGGAACATCACCTCCGGCCGCCCTGCCAGTTGGCTACGTGCCACATAAATAACCACCAGCAGCCTGAGGCCAGCCCAGACTGAAGAATCATAAGCAAATGAAGTGGCTGTGGCTTAAGCTCCTAAATTTCCGGGTGACTTGTTACATGGCAATTAAAAACTAAACAGAAACTTTCTGTTCAATTTGTTTTGGTAATCTACTGCTACATTCTCATGAAATAGCACAATCCCTTATTTGGTCATGATTCTAGATCTGGGCAGGGCTCAGAATAGACAGCTTAACTGGGTCTGGAGGATCCACTGTGAGGAAGGCTCACTCACACGGTGGCAAGCTGGAGCTGGCTGCTGACTGGGAGCTCGGCTGGAGGGAGGGCTGGGCCTCCGTTCTCCTCCAGCTGTCCTCTCTCCATGCCCGGGGTGGGCTTCTCAAAGCAGAGGGGCTGGGTCCAAGAAGCATCATCCTAAAAGTGAGTGTTTGGAAAGGACAAGCCCCACTGTGCAAACGCTTACCAAACTTCTTCTCACATCACATGGCCAAACCCAGAATCAACGTGGGCCTCGGGAGTGTGAATACTGGAGGCGCGTGATTCACCGGGGCCACCAAAGTAACCCTAACCTCAGGGGTATTCAGTTGTAAAAATTCATCAAGCTGTACACTTAAGATGTGCATACATTAATAATAGTTATTAATAAGTAATAGTTAATAAAGTTCACTCCTCCAAAGAAGGACAGCCAAATTATTAACAGTCCTCCCTTAGAAAATGCGATGGGGTCATTAGCACACTGCAAATGGCTTCTCATGGGGTTAGGATGAAATGCAGATTATCAATAGAGAAAATGATTCTTCCTTTTCTGGTTTTATAATACTAGAAAAAGCTATTTGCTAAAAAAAGATTTTTAAGGCACTAAGAGAGAAAGGATTAAAAAATATTTGTAAGTGGCAATCCTCATCCATTCACAGATTCCTGAAGCCACGTAAGCCGTGTCACTAACAGCTAGAATCCACCAGGGAGTGTGTTCAGATCCAATGAATACTGACTGCCATATTCAATCCCTCATACGCCTACTGAGTGCCCACCATGGGTCTCCCCAGGCACCATGCGGGGCGTGGGGTATAATGAACATCTGCTCTAGGAAGCACGTCGGGTGGTAAGCGCCCACTGCTGCGGGAGCAGGGGAGGAAGAGCTGGGAAGGAAGGAATGACAACTGCCGCCCGAAGAAAGGGGAAAAGGCAACTCAGGCGGAAGCAACAGCAGGTACAAGGCAGCATGACTTTGAAGCCAATGTGAGTAGTTCAGCCAGGCTGCAACAAGGCGGGGCGGGGACGGGAGGAAGGACAGTCCAGGAGCCAGCAGGTAGGCTGGGGCCATGGATGGAAGAGCCTTGGATGCTGGTGAGTCCCTGCAGGACTTTACCACAGAGAGAACACAGCGTATTTTAGGTCTCATGGGCAGAATGAAGCGTACTGACTAGAGGCGGAGAGGCAGCTGGATGGCTGTGGTAGGAAGCCAGAGAGAAGAGCGAAGGGCCTGCGCGGGCCGTGGCACAGAGGGGCCAACAGAGACAGTTCAGGGGTCGTCCACAGCCCCGCTACTCAACGTGGGGCCCCAGAAGCAGCGTCAGCAACACCGGGGAGCATGCTAAAATGTAAACTCCTGAGCCCCAGCCCAAATCTCCTGAATCCTGATCTCAGGATTGAGTGGAGCCCAATAATCCGTGTTTTAACAAGTCCTCCAAGTGATCTTGATGTAAATTTAAGTCTGAGGACCACTTATCTATAGGACCTCGCAATCGCTGCAGGTGAGAGGTAAGGGACAATGAGAAGTTGAAGATGATTCTTAGGTTTCTGGTGGAACAGTGGGCCAGACGGTGATACCACCATTCACTGAGGGAGGGGACAATGGAAGAGGAGCAGGTCAGGAGAGAAGGGACTCAGACCCTCCGAGGAGACATTCCCCACATTTTATGGATAAGGAAGATGAAATCTGAAAACGTGAAATGATTGACCTGGACCATTTTTCTTCCTATTTTCATTCTGTTCAATGTAAATATATCCTGTAGCTCAAAATGGTAAGATGAACCAATATTCACAGATATAAGAACCCAAGACCAGTCTGCAGAAAACAGGGTTTTGTATTGGGTTTTGTTTTGGGTTTTTTTGCTGCTTATGAAAATACTGCTTTATATGGGGGCATTGTGTTGCTAATAGAACCTCTCAATCATTTATGGAATTAGGAGAACGTGTTGGGGCTGAAGTAGTATGTTCTAGAACTAATATCTCAAATATGCCACTTGTGGTACCACAAAATACCTGTAAGCTTAAGATGGGTATTTGTAGAGCTATCACATTTTGTTGAAAAGTAAAGCTGTGCAGCCTTTTCCTGATTCTGCTCCTAAAGCTACACTGTGGCATAAGCTGGTTTAAACTGCTCTACACTTGGCTGAAACCAGGAAGCCTGAATTCTTACCCCAGCACAGGCCACTAACTAGCTGTGGACCTCAACCTCATCAACTTACCTCTCTGGAGCTCAGCCTCCTTCTCTATAAAATGAAGGGACTGGACTAGATGAGCACTTACGTCCTTCCAGCTTTAACATTTATTATCTGTGAGGATCAAGTGATGGGATTTGTTTTCTAAGTGATTTCTTATAATAATGACTTTAAGAGGTCATCATTGCCAAGAATGGGCTTGGACTCAGGAATTTTGGGCTACAGCTTGTCACAGCCATTGACGTCAGGGTTTAGTTTAGCATAAACAGGGGGATTCCTGGTACAAGAGGAAGTAGTTAGCTAACGAGTGGCCTCCTCTCCTAGAATTCAAAGTTCAATAATGCTTAGGTGAGACTAATGCAGCCACAATCTCAAACTTTCATAAAATGCTACTGTTTGAGCCGCCAAATATCTCATTGGCCTGAAAAACCTACTCATAATGCTTTCCCTGGATACACCACACTTTTCCATTCTCCCAGTGATTCAGCTACAATACTACAAAATGTCAGCACAGGAAACCTCATTCTTGGGAAAGACAATTTAGCTTTAATGGTCCATAGAGCTGAATTTTGACATAGATTAAAATCTCAGCTCCATCGCTTATCACTTATTGCTAAGTGACCTTGGATGGAGATTTACCTCTTTCAGCCTCAGAGAGGCTTTCAGAAAGGTGAAGATGTCAAGAACATCAGATGCTGCTAAGAAGTCAAAGGAGATGAAGTCTAAAAAGTTGTCCTTTGGAGTTAGCCACATAGAGGTCTTCAATGACTTCAATGAAGGCTATTTCAGAAGAAGGATGGGTCTGGCTGAGGATGTTGATGAGTCAGTGGGAGGTGAAGAATGGAAACTGCAAGTAGAGGCCACCTACTGAGAAAGGAAGGAGAGACACGAGAGCAGCTTCAGGATGAGACTGAGTGAGGTGGTAGTTAGTCAGTTGGTTTCAAGATGGAAGAGATTCGGGCTCGCTGAAAACCTAACGAGAGAGAGAGAGAGAGAGAGAGAGAGAGAGAGAGAGAGAGAGAGAGGACAGGAGAGGGAGAGATGCCTAAATGAGAGAAGAGAGAACGTGTAACATTCCTGACAAGAGGGTAGGAATGAGGTAGGAGAAACTAGACTCTATAATAAAGAGGCAGCCCTTTATTATAAAATGAAGAAATTATAAGAGGAGGGATAAAATATGTACAAACACAGGCAGATTTATACACTTGGTGTTGGAAAGATGAGGATTCCCATACAATGGCTTCTATTTTCTCTACAAAGGAAGAGAAAAGGTCTTCAGCTAGGCTGGAGCCACTGAAAAGAATTGAGAAGGGTTCAAGTAATCCTTGTGAAGAACAAAACAAAGAAATAATCACAGAAACAGTAAAAGTGCTAGGCAGTTTTGAGGGCCCACTTGTGGTATGTGAGCTTCATGAAATTTTAGTGGAACAAATCTGCCCAGCTGTACTACAGTCTTATGACTGGCGACATTTAGGAAAGGGTTAAAAGTTTTCTAAAGAGTCTAAGCCAGTGCTTAAGGCCTGACTGTTAATTCCTGACTATTAATTGCCCATTGGAACAATTTATCTTTAGAAAAACAACTTCTGACAAGTAACTGGAGTTATTACACTAAGATTCCATTTCTAAGCAGAAATATATAGAAACAAGTAGTGAACTGGAAATCTTTACCTTGATTTTTGTGAATTATTACTTGCTTAAGTCAGTAAGCACAAATATTCTTTGGTTTGAAAATCAACTGTATAGAACTATAATTTATCAGGTCAAAGTACATGCTTATTTCGTGATTATGAGAACTCACTTGTGCGATGCTTCCCAGGCTTCCTCTTCTTCTAGAAGATCTCTTATGATGTCTGAACTGGAACTAAAAGGACATGTACATCAATATTACCAGACAATAAAAAGACTGTGGTTCCATTCATATAAAATTCTAGAAAATGCAAGCTAATCTCTAGTGACAGAAAGCAAACCAGCAGACCAGTGGTTACCTGCAGGGGGCAGGGGGTGGGCAAGGAGGGACTACAGAGTGGCCCAAGGAAACTTGGGTGATGGATAGGTGTGATGGATAGGTCATCACCTTGACTGTGCTGACGACTTCACAGTACACGTGTGACAAAAGTCATCAAATCGTGTGCTTTAAATATTTGCAGTTTATTATACATCAATTTCAATGAAGCTGTAAAAAAAACCTTAATTAATCAGCAATAATAAAGAAAAAAATATCCCTAAAGCTTAAATAAACGCCTCAGTAAAAAAACCTGGATTCAAATGGAATATAATCGTGAGCCTTTTCAATTTCAATTTATGGCAACCAAAGATCAAATCATGTTTTAAAAACTGCAGTTTAGTAATGAAATTCACAAGAGATATTAAGTTCCTAAGTGTCTGTTAGTCCCTCTGTAACCAAATAAAGTAAAATGTAATTAATTTGAACTGTGCTAATGCTGTAATTTGTTATAATGCAACTTAGCTTAAAGTGCTATGTAATCTTTAGCCTATCTGTGCAGGGCAGGGCGGGAGGCAGGGGAGCAGAGTAAATAAGCATAGAGAGGACAGGTATTACTTCTTTAAAAGAAAAATGTTTTAAGGCTTTTAGCATCTTGTTCTTACCCAACTAAATTCCTTGTGTGTGTGTGTGTGTGTATATATATATTAGGAAAAAAAGCATTTCTTTAGACATCCAAGACACATAAGACACAGAATGTCATGGGCAGTGTATGGGACAACTCAAATAGTCGTCACAACCCCCAGGATAAAGAAGGCTCAAACAAAGGACTAACTCTCTCTCAGGCAAGAGACAACAGGTTTGGAAATGTTAGTGCCAATCTCATTTCTAGTGATATTCTAAGACATAACAACAGTTTAAAAATTATGAAGATTTAAAGTGTCAGTGAATCATTCTCAACCACTTCTGAAAAACTACTCTGAAGCAGTGTTTGCCTACAGTGCCTGAACAACAAAAATAAGGGGCAACACTCAATAAACATAGTTCTGTACCAAACATTTTACTCAAGGGATTTCCCCAATTCCCAAGCCCCTCAAGGAGCTACACGCAGGGCGCCCCTGACTGTATGTAGCTTGTGTGTACAATGGCCTATGTGTAAGCGCTCCATTCGCATTGCAATGTAGTGACCCTCCAATACAGTGAGCACAATTCAGGATGAGGTTCCTCAAAGGGTAGAAGCAAAACTCCTCGTATTTGTGGATCGAGAAAACATGTAACAACAGTGAAATATTATAAATTTAGTAATACTGTTAATTTATATTTTATCCATTAGAGAAGCACATAAATACATTTTTAAAATAGTAGTACATACGCCTGTGAGACACTCTCGATTATGTCCATGGATAATTCTTGATATGCATATGCTTTTGCAGACCAGCTGCAATCATTCTTTCAGGTCCCTGGGACAGGAACCATTGACCTAACCTGTCAGGGTACCTAAGCATCTACTACTCTTACACTGAGGATGGCCCCCTGCTCAAATGCAAGTGTCCCTGAAAATAATAACACATTAATTTATCATCAGTCATTTTCACCTTAGTATATACAAGCCTATTATAAGCTTTCCCATTAAACAGCTAGCTAAATATAGTGTTCATTAGGAGAGGAGAGGAAAAAGCAGAAGACCCTCAGGGAGACACAAGGCAGATTTCACCAACTTCATTATTTTCCTAAGAGACAGACCCACCTGGCCACTCGCCGGGGAGGGCTAGCATACACTGCCACCCTTATTCCCATAGAAGAGGTCTAAACCTTTCCGTTCACAAGATCCCAACCTTTGTTAATCCTTACTTTGGTGGTAACTACACCAACTTTATCAAGAAAACTGAAGCTGTTTATGGGAGATTTTCATTTCCTTCTCTCTACGCCAAGTGATACTGATACCATCACCTGCTCTTCCCTACCTGAACGGAGATAGGGCAGTGTCTCTCAACCTTTTTCCATGACTGCCCCCACTCCCCACACCTAAGAAGTCCTTTCAGAGCTTTTTTTTTTTTCCCCTAATTGCCCCTCCATGAAATTTTAATACCACAAACATAATGTATATTTGTTTACATACTATGTGTGTGTATACATGCTTTACACGCAGAGTAAGATTTTCTTTTTAACCATCTAGCCCCCTCCCGCAATTCCCACCCCTTGGGGGGTGAAATTGCTCCTACTGAGAACCCATGAGCTAGGGGAATGGGAGAAAGGGGCGGTCATATAGCTCTAGGTCCTGGCAGGTATCACATCACTAGAGAAACAGTAAAGTCGGCTTCCTGCTGACACCCTCCAACACACACATACAATTTTTTTTCAACAGGAAGGTTACAAAGCATCCCTACTCTTCCAGCTAAGTAAGCAGGACGGCCAAGCCTGTCAAATAACCTATTAGTCTGTGATCAATTAACCTCCGGGCTTTCAAATCATCAGTACAAATCACCGATTTGTTGAAGGAAAATACTTGTGGAGCATTAAGGACACAAACCTAAGAGGTTTTTGCTACACTACTTCAGTGAAAACAGATGGTACAGGAGGTTTACAAGACACATCTCAGAAGTGGTCTGCAATCTCCTCTTCGTCTGCAACTTCAATACTACCAACTAGCACGACGCACAGTGCCTCGATTTCCTCAATTCTCATCACCTTTCCTTCTACTCCAGCTCAGTCACTAACCTGATGATAACCAGATCACTAAACTGAATGACAGAAAGTTTGCGAGGCTTGACGTTTACCTAAAATGAAGTTTCAGCATATTTTGCTATGTCTGCTGCTCCAATTCTAGTCCCCACTAAGAAACTGTGAGTTGATGCTGACTAATACAATTAAAATAGCAGACAGAAATGTCCATTCCTTTTTAAGGTAATGTACTTACTATATTCTACTCAAAAGCCACATTCCTGAAATTAAACATACTGTTTCACAAATAGGATTTTACAAAGAGACTACTGGGCAAAACAGGCAGTGTTACTAAAATTATCACTCTCAGATCTCTTCCTTGTGTATAGCAGTAATTAGTATTTTTGAAATCTTAATCATTTTAATATGCCTTGGAGATCAAAAATTCCTTTCACACACTTGCAAGACATCTAAACAATCCTCCACAGGAGAAAATAAATTACTCCCTCCAGTATACCCAGAGTCAGGGCACGCACAAGCCTACACAGCTGTAGCTTTTAATTCTCAGACAAGAAATTTTTTCAGAGTAAACTTCAGGTTCCCTACAATTTGGGTTTGAAACACTCCAGGAGACCATGATTTAAGAAGCCAGATGAGTGTGGAGTCTGGAACTTGAACATTAGAGCTCCCTGTGCGAGGGTGTTCAAATCGTGCTGTCTGATGTCACCATCCAGACCAGGCTAGAGTGGATATTATTATACAAATTAAGTACATGAGATAAAGGTTTATGGGCAAAAAAAATATGAATCTTTAATTCTATGGAATTCCCAGCCCCTGTACAGGAAGAGTCTAGTAGCTCTATTTGGAACACCCACACTCAATTTTTCATACCATGTAGACTTCATTTTCAGCTCAAACTTTCCGAAGTGTAAGCTCAAGTGCTTTCTTCTTTGTTTGCTGGCTGCTGGCTGTTCTTTGTCCTAGTTGGTCCTCCTATAATATTTTACTCTTGTCATTCTCTGATCAAAAGTAGTGGCATAACATCTTATCAGGTGAAGGAAAACAGTTTCTTTGCTTATTTCTCTTGAAGCCTTCTATTTCTACCGGTCAAGATTTTACCACCAAAGCTGAAAAGTGACATACCAAGTTCCTCTGGCAAAGGGATGACTGCTCGTACTACCCAGAGGAAAAAAGTCACAGGTTTCAGTGTTGGACAAAGTCAAGGTTTCAGTCTTGTTTCTGCCATTTAGTGTACCCTGGGCAAGCTACTTAATCTTTCCAAGTCTCAATATCCTCACCTGTAAAGTCAGGATAATAAGACATATAGTTCAAAGGAATATTTTAAAGATTAACCAATATAATACACAGAATGTTTAGCATAGAGCTTGGCACACAGTAAGTGTTCAATAAACGCTGCATCCATTTTCATAAACCAGATTTGGGTCTGAATTACCCAAATAACTGCCTCAGCACCATGCTTCACTTTGCCCTAGGAGACCAGATCACTATGTGCTGTTTTAATCTTTAATCTTTGGTTTCTATGACACCAGGGTGCAAATTCATCAGAACTTTTTATTTATCCAGCATGGCAGGTACACAGGGTACTGTGGGGTAGGTAAAATGCAAACATCTGCTATAAAAATCCTGCGGATTAAAGATTACTTACAAGTGGAATTTTTCTGTTATCTACTAGTTACTCTCCACCAATCCCCACCCCACCCCCAAATCTCCCCTCATAATTGTGGCATTAATTTGAGCATGGTTGAGTATATCCAACTTAAAAAAATACTTCTTTAAGGGCTGATCACTGGAAGACTGATGGACAGCATATAAGCCCACTAGACAACGGTACTTAAATAAATGCTACCAGCTCCATGAATCCTTCCTCAGGCCCCTGTTTCAAATACTCTGTTCTACAGGGTGAGCAACAACTTATGTGCCAAGTATTTTAGCAGGTGGCTCACAATAACATTAGAATAGTAAACATCCTAGGTTGAAAAAAAAAAATCACTCAATGACAAAACAAAAAATTACCATTTTGTTAGCACTTACTTCTACAAATCACTGTGATGACTAGTTTATATACACTAGCTTTAATTCATATAAGCACCCTAGGTTTTATCCCCAATTGACAGGTAGACAAAAACTCAGAGAAACTAAAGGGAAAAGAGGGATGTTTTCATGCTCTCCACTAGATCTAGAAAAAGATAAAATGAAGAAAGCTCCAGATTCAGATATAAGAAAAATATAATAACAGA